GGCTCGAACCCCGGGACCCCGGGGTCACAATCTGGGCTAAACCGCTGAGCCACCCAGGGATCCCCAAACTCCATATTTATTAACAGAAATTACACATTCCCGTCTCCTTCACAATCCCCGGGCAACCATTAATCTACCTTGTGTCTCTATGGATTCTGGACATTTCATATAAACCGAATCATATAATATGTGGCCTTTTGTGACTGGCTTCTTTCATTTAACGTAATGCTTTCACATTTTACCTAGGTTTGGCAAGTATCAGTGCTCCACCCCTTTTTACAGCTGAATAACATTCCAGAGCATGAATATACCACATTTCCTATGGTAAGCTCTATGACCCATTTTGAGTTAATTTTTCTGTAGTGAATGAAAGAGCTTTGCCTATGGCCATCCCATTGTTCCAGCACCATTTCTGAAAAGGCCATTCTTTCCCTATGGAATGATCTTAATACCCTTGTAAAAGATAAATTCACCATAAATTTAATTTTTAAAAGTTCTCAATTCTATCACTCTAGGTCTATCCATATACCAGTACCACACTGTTTTGATGACTATAGCTTTGTAGTAGGCTCTGAAATCAGGAAGTAAGAGGACTATCTACTTCTTCAGGATTGTTTTAACTATTATGGTTTGTTGGCTTTCTGGATGAATTCTAGAATCTGCCTGTCAGTTTCTCCAAGAAAAGGTTCCTGGGATTTTGACAGGGACTGAGTCCATAAATCAAGTTGAGGAGTACTGCCATTTAAACAATAGTAAGTCTGCCAATCCATGAATATGAAATGTCTTTCCATTATTTAAGACTTCTTTAATTTCTTTCAACAATGTGTTAGTTTTCAGCATATTAATCTTACACTTCTTCTGTTAATTCCTAATTATTCTTTGTGATATGATTGTAAATTGAATTGTTTTTAAGATTTTATTTACTTAAAAAAAAGATTTTATTTACTTACTTATTTTTAGATTGGGGGGAGGGCACAAGCCGCAGAGGGAGAGGGAGAAGGAGAGAATCCTAAGCAGACATCCCACCAAGTGTGGAGCCTGATACAGAGCTCCATCTCATGACCCCAAGATCCTGACTTGAGCTGAAACCCAAGAGTCAGAAGCTTAACCAGCTAAGCCACCCAGGCACTGCAAATCCAGTTGTTTTATATATAATTTTGGATTGTTCATTACTAATCACAGAAATACAATTGACTTTTGTATATTAATCTTGTATCCTTCAACCTTGCTGATAATTTTTAGTTCCAATTTTTTTTGGTAGATGCTTTAGGATTTTCTATGTATAATATCATATCATCTGTGAATAGTTTTATTTCTTCCTTTCTTCCAGGTGCCTTTTATTTTCTTGCCTAATCTCTTGGGCTAGAACTTCCACTATAGTGTTGAATAAAAATAGCAAGAATAGACATCCCTGTTTTGTTTCCAGTCTTTCATCACTAAGTATGAGTTTAGCTGGTGAGTCTTTTATAGATACTCTTTATCAGGTTGAGAAAGTTCCTTCTATCCCCAGTTTGTTTTGTTTTCATCATAAATAAGTGTTGGACTCTGCCAAACACCTTTTCCATGTTAATTGAGATGATCACGTGGTTCCAGTCCTTTAGTGTATTAACATGGTGTATTATACTGATTTTTTAAAAATGTCCTGCATTCCTGGGATAAATTCCACTTAGTCACAGTGTTAATCTGTTTAATCTATTTCTGGATTCAATTTTTTTTCTTTTTTTCTGATTCTATTTATTTATTTGACAGAGAGAGAACATAAGCAGGGGGAACAGCAGGCAGAGGGAGAGTGAGAAATAGGCTCCCAGATGAGCAGGGAGTCCAACGTGGGGCTCGATCCCAGAACCCTGGGATCATGACCTGAGCCAAAGGCAGATGCTTAACTGAGCCACCCAAGCTCCCCAGTTTGCTTTCTTTTCTTTCTTTTTTTTTTTAAAGTAGTCTCCACTATGGGTGGGGTTCAAACTCATGACCCCAAGATCAAGGCCTGAGCTGAGGCCAAGAGTCAGACGCTAGCTAAACTGATTGAGTCACCAAGGCAGCCCAATTTGCTTCATTTTCTATATCCATAAGGGATATTGGTCTGTAGTTTTCTTGTGATGTCTTTGTTTAGTTTTGGTACTGAGAATGAGTTGGGGAAGTGTTCCTTCCTCTTCTATTTGGAAGAGTTTTGAAGGATTAGTGTCAATTCTCCATTAAATATTTGGTACAATCACTAGCGAAGCCATCTGGGCTGATAGGTTCGTTAAATACTGTACATTAGTAAGTGTTGGGCTGTTGTGGGAGGTTAAAGAACCAAGTGACCGGTCCTGCCTCGAAGGGCAAGGAAGCTGGGAAAAGAAGAAACAGTAAGGGTTTAATATCAATGACTGATGTTGGGGGGAATGGAGAATGAGAGAAAAGGCTGGGAAGACAGGCTGGAGGTAGATGAGTCAGGACTCCGAATGCCTGATCTGAACTCTCAACAGACGAAATCTGCTGCTTCCTTCACATGGTGGTTGCTGCTACTATTTTGAGAACAGGGAAGGCAGGAAGGTTAGTTGAGGGCATCATGCCAAAGAAGAATAGAGCCACTGACCAGACCCTAGGAGGAATTTTGCTAGCCAACTGGCAGTCAATAAAGATAACACTTCAGCGTGAAGAATGTAGCTGAAGCCCATGTGTCCCACAAGGAAGAGAGGAAGTACAGCAAGTTGGAGGAGGTAATAAAGTAAGGATAGCCATATCGGTGACCCAGGGGTTTAGAAAAGCATTCCTGGGGGAGCCTCCGGGTGGCTCAAGTCCCATCTTGAAAGCCTATCATACTCTCAGAGTCATGTAAGCGTCCAACTATTGATTTCGGCTCAAGTCAGGATCTCAGGGTCATGAGGTCGAGCTCCACATCACCTCCGTGCTCACCAGGGAGTTTGCTGGAGTTCTCCCTCCCCCTCCCTCTGCTCTCTCTCTTTCTCAAATAAATCAATCAATCTATCTTAAGGGAAAAGAAAGAAAAGTATTCTTGGGGCACCTGGTGGGCCTAGTTGGTGGAGCATGCAACTCTTGATCTTGGGGTCATAAGTTTGAGCCCCATGTTGGAGATACAGGTTACTTAATTAAATAAAATCTTTTAAAAAGAAAAAGAAAAAAAAAACATTCCTGTATAGACCATCTGCTGTATCATTCTAACGTTTGCTCTGGGCCAAAGACACGCTCTTACGGGGTCGACACCACACCAGTCAGCTAAGCTGTCATCACATTTCCAGCTCCTGAACAGCAGAGATCATGTCCTCTTTATCTGAATCTTCTACAGAGAGGTTTACCAACATCAAAAGAATGCCTCCATTCAAATTTCTTTGGACAGTTTTAAATTAAGAATGCCTCATCCATGGGACGCCTGGGTGGCTCCGTGGTTGAGCGTCTGCCTTGGGCTCAGGGTGTGATCCTGAGGTCCAGGGATCGAGTCCTGCATTGGGCTCCCTGTGAGGAGCCTGCTTCTCCCTCTGCCTGTGTCTCTGCCTCTGTTTCTCATGAATAAATAAATAAAATCTTTTTTTTATTTATTCATGAGAAACATCCAGAGAGAGGGAGAAACGGAGGCATAGGCAGAGGGAGAAGCAGGCTCTATGCAGGGAACCTGACGTGGGACTCGATCCCCAGGACTCCAGCATCACACTCTGAGCTGGAAGGCAGATGCTTAACCGCTGAGCCACCCAGGTGTCCCAATAAATAAAATATTAAAAAAAAAAAAAGAAAAAAAGAAAAAGAATGGCTCATCCAAATTCCACCCCCACCTGCTGCCTCCATACCAAAACTCTTCTAAATTCTCAGTGTGGTAGGCAGTAGCTATGGAATCAGACCCCGGGATAGCGAGAAGTGCACCAGCCTCAGCGGTGGACACTCAAGTCTTCTGAATTCTACCCTGTACGGTGCAGTGAGGAAGAGCTCTCGACAAAGATGTCTTTTCCCTACCAAAACCTTGACAAGAGAGGTCATTTGCACCAGAACCAACTACACAGACATCTCTGCGTCCCATCTTGAAAGCCTGTCGTACTCTCAGAGGGCACACACTTTCTGGGTAGTCATGGACACAACCGGGAAAGAGCACTGGGCCAGGAGCCAGGAGCCCTGAGCCCTGACTGCAGCCCTGCTGCTAATTAGCCAGGGCACCGTGGTTGGGCAAGTCACTTCTTCCCTTGGCCGCTTGTGAAAAGAAGGAGTTGGAGTAAAATTGACAAGAGTCGCTACCAAATATGAAAATAATAAGCTTTGATGACATTCAAAGCTTATTTTGACTACCATGTTATTTAGAACTGCTGTAGAAGGTTATAGCCATAATCGGTCTCAAGTGCACTTTATAATCCGTGGTTCTCTTGTAGGCTGAGGTATGAAATGCAGGTTGTTTGATCAAATGTAAGGTGTGACGTTACTGAAATCATTAAATCCGCTTACTCTGGCTTTGCTTTTGTGACTTGCTCTTGGTCACGTGTATGTGTTGCAACTTTCACCCGTAGATGATGGGTTTTACTCTGCGACAGTCTGTACTATTTTAGTTTATTAATCAGTAGAGTATAACCGTGGTTCATGTGAAGTAAAGCGTGCTGCCTAAATGCGGTCTCTGGAGTCAGACTCCCTAGGTATAAAGCCCAGCTCTAGACCTCCCATGCCTCCCAACGCTGTTTTCACCAGGTTATTCTTAACCTTTGGTTTCATCACTTGTAAAGCAGGGGTTAAAAAAAAAACAAAACAACAAAACAAACAGTACTTTTACCTCATTGCATTGTTGTGAAAATCATGAGATAACCCATGTAGTGTCAACTTAATAGATAAAAGCAATTGTATTGTTGTTATGTATGTTTATAAAGAGAAAGATCTCTTTTCTGTTCTCTTTCCCACCAACCCGATGGACCACTCCTTTATAGGAAGTGCTAATTTTTTTTGTGTTGCTTTTCAGAATGATGATCTGATTCAAAATATTGTTTGCAGAAATGGATGCTGGTTTATTTTATTTTTTTAATATTTTATTTATTCATGAGAGAGAGAGAGAGGCAGAGACAGAGGGAGAAGCAGGCTCCATCCAAGGAGCCCCATGTGGGACTCGATCCCGGGACTCCAGGATCACACCCTGGGCCAAAGGCGGCACTAAACCACTGAGCCACCTAGGGGTCCCTGGATGCTGGTTTAAATAGACTCTAAAGCAGGGATACAGATCTGAAGAAAGGAATGGCCTACTACTGGGAACAGTTCTCCTGTTTTGGAAATGTTATTCTTCCTCCAAGGTCAGCATAACTGATGGCTACCATCACCAAACCTCTTTCCCACGTTCTAAGCAGAAGCAAGTTCTACTGGTTGTTAAAGTTCACACAGGGGTGATTGGTTGGCTCAGTCGGAAAAGCACGTGACTCCTGATCTTGGGGTCGCAGGTTTGAGTCCCACATTGGATGAAGAGGTTACTGCAAAAAATAAACTTAAAAAACAAAGTGCATGTAAAGAGAACAGTTTAATAAATAGGAATAAAAAGCAGCCATAAAGCAACCACTAATTGAGAGTTTGAATCTTAAGAAAAGAAAGCTGTTGCCTATTTGAACTAGATAATACAGGGCAGCATTTTAAGTATAGAGGCTCTAGTGGTAATCACTGTGGACTTGACTCTGCCAAGCATCGTAGATGAATTTGAGATTTCAGCTGAAGATTATATAACTTATTCCGTACTTCCAATTCCATTTGAAAAGAGAAGCAACAACATCGAAATAGGCTTGGACCTTTCTGAGTCATTGGCCACGCAGGTCGGGGCAGCCTTAGCTGGTGGTTCTGCACTGAGATGTTTCAAAGCTTTATTAAAAATGTTTGAATCCCCATGAAGCCTCACTATACCCAAGTTTACCAGATTTGGGTAGGAATGGGCTTCATGGTTTATAAAATCAGGAGTGCTGATAAAAAAAAAAAAAAGTAAAGCTTTGAAAGTTTCGAGTCCTGTACCTGTGCAGGGTCATCTCTAACCAGCTCTGTGTGGTGTGCACACCGGATGGAAGTAAGTCTGGCTGTACATCTCAGCAAGATCTGTTGGATAGGAACATGGAGCATCGCCGGTCACTTGCAGAAGTGTCTCCTGTGTGGCATGAATAAATGTCCCTGTGAGATGCACTTTCACAAAAGAAAAAAGATTGAGGTAGGCAATGTTATTAGTAAATGCATGTTAGTTGCAAATGAGATTACAAGAGTAGAAAATAGCTGAAAGTGGGTAAGGTGCCTTTGGGAAGCAGGAGTCAGAATTCAGGGGAAAGATAGAGAACTGTCATTTTTTTATCATAAATGATGTAGAATGATTAGACTTATGACATAGTTGTGTTACTTTAAATATATATTAATTTTATTTTTATTTAAGATTTTATTTATTTATTCATGAGAGACGGGGGGTGGGGTGCAGAGACACAGGCAGAGGGAAAAGCAGGCTCCATGCAGGAAGCCCGATGTGGGACTCGATCCCGGGTCCCCAGGATCACACCCTGGGCTGAAGGCGGCACTAAACTGCTGAGCCACCCAGGCTGCCCTTAATTTTATTTTTTAAAGATTTATTTGAGGTGGAGGGAGAGAGCATGTGCACAAGTGTGAGTGGGGGAGAGGCAGAGGGAGAGGATCTCAAGCAGACTCCCTACTGAGCATGGAGCCCAATCCCGACTCATGAGATCTGACCTGAGCTGAAATCACGAGTTGGTGACCCAACTGACTGAGCCACACAGGCACTCCAATAAATATTAATTTAAAAAACACAAGGGAGTCTTAGGAAAATCAATTTGTTGATAATTTCTGGAAGGGATCAAGTCAGTGGCTTGATTTTTCTGTGTGCTTCCCTGACATGCGAGTCAGTAACGTCCTCCATAAATGTTTCAGCCTGCCTCAGCGGTGTCTTTATGGTAAGCTAACTAAGGTCAGATGGCTAGGGCCCTTGTGGTCGGCTGAAGAGACCCCCTCCCCACCAGGAGATCGCTTTTGAGTATTAAACTTCCTGGTTCTTAGGTTTGTTTTAAGGAAGACACTTCTTTATTTATTTCTTCTCCCCTTAAAGCCTCTGAAGTATACATTGTCATTATTCCCATTTTGACAGGTGAAAAACTGAATCCTTGTGAAGCTAAGGGACACATTCAAGGCCATGAGGTGGCAAATGGCAGGGCCGATTTATAAACCTATACTTTTCCCATACAGACCATCTATAATAATTGCTATAATAAAGGTTCAGACTAGTAATTTGTTTAAATATGTGATGCACAGAATAATTCACAGAAAATTATACTGTATTTAGTTATCTTGACCATCACTCCCCCTTACCTTCAGAGAGGTTGGATTTGTCCAGGAGTATGAAATGTGAACTCCTTTACAACTGCATCTAAAACAAATAACTAAAAAATATCAATGGCTAATGGTAGCCTTAGAACACGGGCTTTTATGTTGGTCTTTAAAAAACTGAGATATGATTCACATTCACCCCTCTCAAGTATATGCTTCACCTTTTCAAGTGTACAAGTCAGTGGTTTTAGTATGTTCACCACCAAACAATACCACTCTAATCAAGAACATTTGATTCATTTTTTTTTACTATTACGAAAGTTGAATCAACAAAAAAGTTCAATATGAAAATGCACATGACCTGGTTTTTAAATTGTAGTAAAACAGGTGCTACAGAGGGGTGACACGTGGAAGCAGTTGATTTCTTCCAGGGAACACACCGTTGTTTATATTTCTTCCAAGGCTTCTAACACAATACTATTTCCTGGAGTTACCACCATTCCAATATTGTTGTTGCCATGAGTTGCCATCTCCATACCTTCATCCATAACAAGTTTTTTTTTTTTAAGATTTTATTTATTTATTCATGAGAGAGAGAGAGACAGACAGACAGACAGGCAGAGGGAGAAGCAGGCTCCATGCAGGGAGCCCGATGGGGGACTGGATCCCGGGACTCCAGGATCACGCCCTGGCTCAAAGGCAGGCGCCAAACTGCTGAGCCACCCAGGGATCCCCCATCACAAGTTCTATAAAGGGATCGAACCCCCACACTATTCCTAAGACATGACTGCCACCGTTTAATTTCAATGACAATTTCTTGTCCATAAATTTTTTTCAACTCAGGAGGGTGAGCTTTGCTCATGGTGTCTATTCAGTGAGCTCAAAGATCCATACTTTGATTCACTTTTTTTTTTTAAGATTTTATTCATTTATTCATGAGAGACACCGAGAGAGGCAGAGACACAGGCAGGCTCCCTGCAGGGAGCCGGATGGGGGACTCGACCCCGGGACTCCAGGATCACACCATGAACCCGCACTTGGCGAGAAATCTGCTTCTCCTCCTATGTGTGCTCTTTCTTTCATTAATAAATAAATAAAATCTTAAAAAAAGAAACATAGAGAAACTACTGTGTCAGTGGCTAGACACATCTGAATTTTGCCCAGTTTAAGAGCTGCGCTCTAAAAGTGATAAAAGAGGGGTGCCTGAGTGGCTGTCTGTTAAGCATCTGCTCTTGGCTCAGGTCAGGATCCCAGGGTCCTGGGATGAGCTATATATTGGGTTCCCTGCTCAGTGGGGAGCCTGCTTCTCCTTTTCCCTCTGCCTCTCCCCCTATTCCTGCTCTCTCTCTCTCAAATGAATAAATTTAAAAAATTTTATTAAAAGTGATAAAAGGAAAAGGGTCCAAGGAGTGTAAGGAAAATAATTAAAGGGATGCCTGGGTGGCTCACTGGTTAAGCGGCTGGCTTCGGCTCAGGGGAGGATCCTGGGGTCCCCCAGGGAGCCTGCCCCAGGGATCCTGGGGTCCCTCCCTCTGCCTGTGTCTCTGCCTCTCTCTGTCTCTCACGAATAAATAAAACCTTTAGGGATCCCTGGGTGGCACAGTGGTTTGGCGCCTGCCTTTGGCCCAGGGCGCGATCCTGGAGACCTGGGATCGAATCCCACGTCGGGCTCCCGGTGCATGGAGCCTGCTTCTCCCTCTGCCTGTGTCTCTGCCTCTCTCTATCTGTGTGTGACTATCATAAATAAACAAAAATTAAAAAAAATAAAAATAAAAATAAAACCTTTAAAAAAAGGAAAAGAATTAAATTCAAGGGCTTGCAGTGATTTAGTCTAAGAAAGTCATTTAAAAACACCCTTAAATGACTTGGGATTGTTATACAAAAAATTCGATGACCTTTATTTCCTTTTTTCCCTAAGGAAAAGACAAAGAAAATGGATTCATTCTACAGGAAGAAGGGATTAGCTTAGCATAGAAAGTTGTCAGAAAGAGGCTTGTTAAACATCAAATGGTGGTGGCAGCAAAAAGTTCTCTAAAATTTTTTTTAAAAGGCTTTAAAAGTTTCAAGGAATAGTATAAAAAAATTCCTTCACTCAGGTTCACCAATGTTAACATTTTGCCAGATTTGCTTTATCATTTTCTGTCTCATCTAGATATACATATAAACCATATATATGGAATCATTTGAGTAAAATTATATACATTATTCCTCCTCCCTAAAGAGTGGGGATTTCCTAACACAGAAAATATTCTGCCAAACCATGGTAATATAAATATCAGGAAATTAACAGATACAATTTCATTTTATTGTACAGACCTTACTCAAAATTTTCCTGTTATTGCAATAATGTCCATTAAAGCAAAAAGAATTTTTTTTTTTTTTTTGCCCAGTCCAGGATCGCTGTGGCACATAGTTGTCATGTCTCATAAATTCCTTTCATATAGTTCTTCAGGTACCTGGGTGGCTGAGGCAGGTAAGAGTGTGCCTTCGGCTCAGGTGTGATCCTGGGGTCCTGGATGGAGTCCTGCATGGGGCTCCGGGCTCTGGGAGGGGTCTGCTTCTCTTTCTATCCCCCCCCCCCCAATGATCTCTCTCATGCTCTCTCCCCTCTAACAAGTAAATAAAAAGAACAGTTCTTGAGTCTTTGTCCTTTATAACCTTTCATGAATACAGGCAAGTTATTGTGTGGCCGGTCGCAGAATTAGGTCTCTGCTAACACACACACACACACACACACACACACACACACACACACACACACACACACAACAAATTCTCATTTGTTTGGGGAGTTTTAGGTGTGGTCTTGAGTGAAGACCACAGGTAGAATGAGGCCCCTCTTCAAGGACCCTTCTAGGCACCTCCTATTGATCACTCCCACTATATTAGAATTATTCTAGATAGACAAAAAGTTTTGTATTCAGAACTGCACCGTGTTGCACAGTTTTTCTTCCCTTGGCACTCGTGCATTTGCCGTATTTCACAGAAGTAGGTTTGTCTGTGGAAGACTTAGCACCTCCTCTTCTTAACCACCGGAGACTTGGGTTCCCTGTGGGCTCCCGCTCGCAGAGACGAACCCTGTGCCCGCGCTAGGAAGCAAGAGCCGCAAAAAATGGGTGGGTGTCGCCCACTGAGACCTTTGCACAAACATTCGTGGAGTGCCCAGCGTCTGTCCGGCTGCGTCCCGGCCCCGGGGCTGCAGGGGCGGGCCCAGGACAGCGCGAAATCCCCGTCCCCGTCTCCTCGTTGCACAAATTAGAATTTAAGTCCAACACCTCAGAACCCGGGGACCGGCTTGCTGAAGCAGGAAGGGGAGCCGGGTCGGGAGCGGGCCGCCCCAGACGCGGGTGCCGCCGCGGGAGCACCGACGGGCGCGCCCAGCAGAGCCCCGGGCCACGCCGCGCGCTGCGCCGGGATCCATCCGGGCGCCCCATGGCCCGGGGCAGGTGCCTCCCTCTCCCCCCTCCGCCCCCGCGCCCAGCCCCGCGGCCCCGCGGCCCCGCGCCCTGCATGGGGGGCAGGTGCCTCCCTCTCCCCCCCGCCCCCGCGCCCAGCCCCGCGCCCCGCATGGGGGGCAGGTGCCTCCCTCTCCCGCCCCACGCACCGCGGGGGGGGCAGGTGCCTCCCCCTCCCCCTCCGCGCACCCAGCCCGCGGGCCCGCGCACCCCGGCGGGGCAGGTGCCTCCCTCCCTCTCCGCCTCCTGCGCGCCCAGCCCCGCGCACCCCGGCGGGGGGGCCCCGGGGAACCTGCTCCTCCGGCGGCCGCGCCCGCTGCAGTGCAGGCTGGGTGGTTCCGCCAGGTCCCTCCCCGCCGCCTCCGCGCCCAGTCCCTGCCCCCGCGGCGCCGGCGGGCGGGGAGCGCGGCTCGGGGACCCGGGGCGAGGCTGCCGCCGACCCCCACCCCCCGCATCCCGAGGCTCAGGGGCGAGCGCCCCCGGCCCCCAGCCCCGCCGCCACCTGCGCCGCCGGGCCCGGCCCGCGGGGCTCCCCGGACTCCACCCCCGCCCCGCCCCGCCCCGACGGGTTCCGGGTCCGGCCCCGGCTTCGCCCCTGCGCCCGGCGCGCCCCGCTGCCCCCGGACTTCGGGCTCCCGGAGCGTGTAAAGCTCGGGCGACGTCGGCCCCGGGGCTCCCCGCGCGCGGCCCGCCACGTGGTCTCCCCCGGTCCCCGACGTGCGCGCGGGGCGGCCGCGGGGGCGCGGGGCGGGGGCGGGGGCGTCGACCGGGGGCGGACGGGCCGGGCGGAGAAGGCTCTAGTCCGCGGGCGGCACGGGCAACGGAGGGCGTCGTGGAGGGACGAGGAAGCGGGGCGCACGGTGCCCGAGGGCCCTCGCGGGGACCCCCGCGGCTCTGCGCGAACCTCGCGGGGGGGCAGCGTGGCCCGGGCCCCCGCGCGGCGTGGGGAGGTGGGGGGCGGGTCCCCGGCGTCCGCCCGCGGTGCGCTGGCCCCCGCGCCCCGCTTCACCCCTGGCCTCCTTTCTCCTCCCGGCGCCAGGCCTTCTCCCCCGACCCTGGAAGAGAGCCCCGGACTCCCCGCTGCCCCGTCCCCCTCGGCCCCCTCCAACGAGGGGCGGCCCCGGCACCCCCAGCCTCCCCGCCTGGCCCCGGCTGCCCTCTAGGCGGCCGCCGCCCGCTCCCCGCCCCTCCCCTCCCCTCCCCATTCATCCAGCCTTTGTCTCCCGCCCCCTCTCCCGGCTCCCCGGGCGGCCTCCTCCCCCACCGCTGCCACGTCGTGGTTTGAAGGAGCCAATGGGCCGGCGCCGCCAGGTGTCTCTTACCTGCACCACGTGGGGGAGGGGGAAGGGGCGGGCAGGTAGAGCCACATCCCAAAACAGAAAAGCTTTCAGCCATTGCGCGCTCCACCCGGGGTGCAGCCCTGCTCCTGGCTTTTTGCATAGACGCGCGGGCGACCGGACACAGAAAGGGCAGGCCTCCCGCGCCCTCCGTGCCACCCCTCCCTGCCGGGGCGCGGAGCGCCGGCCAGGTGTGCGCCGGGCGGCCGGTGACCGCTCCTGCACCCGCGGCCGCGCGGAGGGGGTGGGCGCTCTTTCTTTTTCTCCAAGGAGCGGGTTCGGCACCGGCCTCCCCGGCCTCCCCCCACCTCGCCGCTCCCAGCCCCCCTCTCCCCCTCCCCGCCTACCGTCATGACGGCGTCTCCGGATTACCTGGTGGTGCTTTTTGGGATCACCGCGGGGGCCACCGGGGCCAAGCTGGGCTCGGACGAGAAGGAGCTGATCCTGCTCTTGTGGAAAGTCGTGGATCTGGCCAACAAGAAGGTATTTCTCTCCAGGTTTCTGGCCCAAACGAGAGGAACGGGGCCAGAAGTTTGCCCTACAAGTTTGGGGAGTCGGTAAACAAGGGTTCTGGCTGGGCCGCCTACGAGGCCGGGCCCGAGGCCTACGGGACCCGGGCTGCAGGCGGACGTGTTGGCACACGGCTTGGGCCCCGGTTGGCCGATCCCAAATCCGGCTCGGGTGGGAGGCGGCGCGCGGAGCCGGGGGACCCCCGGGGCTCGGCCGGATCCGGGTGGGGGCAGGGCCGGGGCGCGCGGGCCTCGCCGCCCGAGCCGCCCGCGGCAGGTGAGCTCTGCTGGGGGGCGCGGGGGGCGCCCGAGCTGGGGAGCGGGCCTGAGCTCGGCCGCTCTCCCGTCTGCAGGTGGGGCAGCTGCACGAAGTACTAGTCAGACCGGATCAGTTGGAGCTGACGGAGGACTGCAGAGCCGAGACCAAGCTCGACGCGGACAGTCTGTCCTCCGCGCCGCAGCTGGACCAAGCCCTCCGCCAGGTGACAGCCCCGGGCAGGTGGCGCATCCCCCGGCAGGTGGCGGGACGCCGGGCCGCGGGGGCGCAAACCCGGCCTGCAGGCCCGGGTGGGCCC